GGAATGCGATCGATGTGAACTGAGGTTAGCATATGTGATTATGCGGGACTTGCATTGACCAGATTGTTCGCAATTAAAATAGCTCAGAGCTTGAAGAGATATAAGATCAGAGGTATATGGGGTTGCTGCGTGTTTGTATGATGAGTTGACTTCTGAATGGAACTGTCACAGCCGAAATGGAACCGTGGAACCTTGTAAAACCAGTTGCGTTTAGGTGCGTCATACGTGTATTTGGTGAGTCCCTGTTAGCATATTTTGCTCTTCTATCAGTGATGATGATAATCGTCATTTGGCGCACTTTGTACCCACATTGTCACGTTATTATAATGATGATTATTCCAACAGGTCGGTGATGTACCGCCAGACATGATCAGAAGATTGCAGTCAGAATAAAACATGAGTTTGATCGTAGTTGCATGTAATGGATTAAATGTGCGATTATGTAAAGTCAAGAGAGGGAAGTGCATAGTTGCGGGTGTGCTATTAAACTGGGCATAGCAGCGCCATGCCATCATTGCACTGAAATACCTTGGTTTCTAGACAGCCCCATAACGGACGTCATTTTTGAGATAATTTGACTTCGATGTGTAATTCTTTGAGAAGGATATTTATGGTTAACGCTCTAGTCCCGTGCCTGATGTGTGAATCTTGATTGCGCTAGCGCTCACCGCGCCTTGAAGAGCATCCAAAGTTGTTTGTCCTTTCTTCGGTGGTTAATCTATAGACGCTTGTTTCAACATCAAAATATTTACATACGTTGGTGACATAAATTCGGGTGAGACTTCCCTCTCTTCTCTATCATATTCTGCTGCTACCCTTTCGCATTCATCGCTTGCATTCACTTTTTATGTTTGTGGCCATGCTCTTCAAAAATAAATGATAAAACTATATTGGAGATACAGTGAACTACGGGCAAGCCATCAGACTGGGTATGGTAGTCGTGGTACCGTCATCGCGACGCCGTAATTCGGTTCATGGATAGTCCCTTACATATACAACTTGGATGAGCCGTTTGTGGTTGTCATTGTAGCTAGGGTATTCTTGGGTCCATTGAGCGTTCGCGGTGGTTCATTGCTGCAACCCAAGAGAGGTAATAGGACAGCCATGCCTATATTTGGGACTCGGAATAGGATAAATATCCAAAAGGTTTGATGGAAAGCGCTTTGACATGAGTTAGAATGCCTCTTGAAATAATAAACTGTCAGTTCAAAAGCGATAATCGATATTCAGGAATGCGATCGATGTGAACTGAGGTTAGCATATGTGATTATGCGGGACTTGCATTGACCAGATTGTTCGCAATTAAAATAGCTCAGAGCTTGAAGAGATATAAGATCAGAGGTATATGGGGTTGCTGCGTGTTTGTATGATGAGTTGACTTCTGAATGGAACTGTCACAGCCGAAATGGAACCGTGGAACCTTGTAAAACCAGTTGCGTTTAGGTGCGTCATACGTGTATTTGGTGAGTCCCTGTTAGCATATTTTGCTCTTCTATCAGTGATGATGATAATCGTCATTTGGCGCACTTTGTACCCACATTGTCACGTTATTATAATGCTGATTATTCCAACAGGTCGGTGATGTACCGCCAGACATGATCAGAAGATTGCAGTCAGAATAAAACATGAGTTTGATCGTAGTTGCATGTAATGGATTAAATGTGCGATTATGTAAAGTCAAGAGAGGGAAGTGCATAGTTGCGGGTGTGCTATTAAACTGGGTATAGCAGCGCCATGCCATCATTGCACTGAAATACCTTGGTTTCTAGACAGCCCCATAACGGACGTCATTTTTGAGATAATTTGACTTCGATGTGTAATTCTTTGAGAAGGATATTTATGGTTGGCCGAGGAAATCCTCAGAGGTAGAACGAAACTTATGTAAGATCGTAGGTTTTTTTGTGATCCGGTTGGGGAGGTGGTGTGGTGCAGTGTTTTACACATATTCGAAGTTGTATTAGTTCTGAGTGTAGTGTTTTAAACGCTATCGTGGAAGATGTGTATAAGTCTTAATTGGTTACATATTTTTTTCAGAAACCATGTCGAGTGAAAAACTGAGAACCTGATTGGTCGCACATTATGTTAGTACGATGCAACCAATAAAGAGAAACATGATTTTTTAAAGGTGGCTGTGAATAGTTCAGGCATGGGGTGTTGGCAGGTGGACGACGTACGGATATGACGGACTGTCGTTTGTCGTTGGATTAGTCCATTATGCATAGTTGGGACATTATAGTCAGCTACGAGCATGGGCCTGCGGCTGCCCCGCTATACAAGCCAGTTCCTGTCTAGTACGCACCGGAACGATTCATGTTTTATACACACGTCAAACTTTCCTGTATAAGGACAGAACACAATCAAACACCCTCACCCTTACGCATCACTCGCGCGTCGGAACGCAGCCCGGCTCGACTCAACAACAACCGCGGACAACTAGGAACGTGTAGCAGTGAATCTGCCAGCAGAGTCACGGTTACCTGCGCCCAAACTAACTCGGTGGGACTATTGCAACTTCCACTCAGAACGATAAGTCCTTCATTTGTACATTCCAATTTTTGGTATTGTATTCGACTCGATTAAGGTGTTGTAACCTCTTAAAATAAATTTTATTAGTGTCGCTTTCTAGCCTTCTGATTTATCAAGTGGCTTTTGTTGTTAACAATAGAGAACACTAATAAGGTAGCAGACAAGCGAGAGCACGCACCGTTACGGACATGACGGGCCATCTTTGGCAGGTAAATTAGGACCCTGCGCATAGCTGAGGCCTAATACTCAGCGTCGCATATAGGCACTGGTCTATCGGTTTCAAAAAGTAGTCAGGGTAGGCGATACCGCGTACATTTGTCGTTGGCCACTATATTAGGTATGTATGCACAAGGACACGGACTCAAAAGGCGATCAATAGCCAAGTTAGGTGACTTCGAGTACGGTTGTGAACATAACAGGCCGTCAGATTAGGCCACCGCGCGTGGATGAGGCCTTATTTTTGCCGGTCGGCATAAATACTGGACTGACGTTTAGTGTAGGTAGCGAAGAAAAGCGGCATAGCGTATAGGTAAGGGTATGAAAGACCGTCACTGGCCATCAGATTATGTTACTGTGCATAGGTGCAGTTTCATTATCAACCTTGCACATGGACGCAGGCGTAGCAGTTACAACAAGTATTCGAGATGAGTGAAAACGAATAGAGCTACGGGTACAATGGGCCGTCGTTGCTCATTGGCCTAGGCTGCCGCGCATAGGTGGGGCCCTATGATCAGCGTCGCACATAGACTCGGACCCATCAGTTACGATGAGTAGTTCAGGTGAGTGACAACGGCTACCGTCATCATGGCGACCGCTTTATGGTGTTCACCACCTAGGGATGACGCCCGCAGCTATCTCGTTACACTGAATTATCCACATGCTAGTTATGCTCATTTGGGAAAGGGGATCATCCACAGATGGCCTTCGCACCGCTCTGCACAGTTCATGCTGTTGTCTAACTTTATTGCACTTAATGGAATATTGGATCCATGAGGAAAATGTGTTGTGAACAGGATCGCTGTTAAATATGAGGAGTGTAAAGCAAACAACATGTGTATTAAATACTCTTTGGATGTTTTCTATCCTTCGGGAACAACGTAAAACGCAAAAGTATGCTAAAATGCATTTTCGTGTTTTGGGTCGCGTAAACCAGCAGGAAAATGCAAATCGGGGATGCTGTGTGACCTTGAAATTAAACAAAATGCTACCTGCAATATGTCACTGGAAGGTGCAAATTGATTTTACTAACTCACCACTAAATTCACAACTTCGAAAACCCTATAGTTTCAACGAACTCATTTTGGGTGTTCAAATAACCAGCGTCCTAATCTGGTTGAGGCAGGTGACTACGGAAATAGGTGAATCAAGGAGAGCTGTGGATCCCGGGATACTTCCCCCCGCAGATAAGAGAGATGAAAAGATGGCTAGTAAGCCGGTCGCCACTGGTAATATTGGAAATTTACTACAAAACAACAAGCAGTATCGTCGTGTCTTGCTGACAGGTTTGCAGCTTCTGTCGGTAGTTGGCTTCCTGATCAACCCACCATTGTAACTCAGAAAAGGCACGATAGCTTGACGCAGCGCTTTGTGGAGATGAATGGAAATTATTACAACCGTATTTACAGGATAATCAGAGAATGTTCCACAAGGTTGCTCTAAGAGATTGCGTGAAGAGTTAGGCTACAGATGCTCGATCCTGATTGGCTGATATTTCGGCGAATTAAGTAAGAGGTGCCTCCGCTTAGTCCGTAGCCCGCACGCGACGTACCCGTCCGGTCGAATTGGCGGTCGGTTTTCAGGAGCGGCTGGCTACCGAACAATCATGTGGGTCGCTTGACTGAATTCTTTTCAGATGTATTTCAGTTGGTCTCTGTCCTTGTATCTTGTTTTCCACTTGAACCACGGCAAATGTATTTAAACCCTGATTTTCTGAAGTACTGCCGTATCTTTCTGCCTTGAAATGCTAGGGTGGATGATACCTCACCAACTATCGTATGTCCTCTGCGTGTAGAGCCCACATTCGTAATCCATGAAGCAGCATTAAACGAACCGCTGCAGTGCAGATTCCGATCTTGATGGACCAACTGACGTCACATACACGCTATAGATGTTGGAGACTGGTAAAAGTTGCCTTACCCTCCCCTATTCGGGAATTAATGTCAGCTCCATCCAGTCCACAGAAACCTATACAGTTATCCAAGTGAAGAAATTTATTTACCACGTCGATTGGCTCACCTGCAAGCTAATTGGGTTTGGGCTTGATCCCACCCAGCTTTGTAGCCTTACACTTTACTTTGCAGCATCATCGATAGGAGAAACCTATACAGTTATCCAAGTGAAGAAATTTATTTACCACGTCGATTGGCTCACCTGCAAGCTAATTGGGTTTGGGCTTGATCCCACCCAGCTTTGTAGCAGCACTTTACACTTTGCAGCATCATCGATAGGATAACATCAGTGTTCGGCACTTATAGTGAACACTGTGCGGCCGAATTATTTGGGTTATTTAAAATGGTTTGCGTCTTTGAGGGATCTGAACCGAGGATAGCAGTATCTTTTACACAGTCAGTGCCTGTGAATGAACTTCACGGGTGCATTTTCACCCGAGAGTTTTCGGGGGATGGCATCATTGTCATCGACTGCATGACATTAGTGTTCAACACCGTTGCTTCGTTGCCGTATAGGTGACGGAAACGCCAAGCAGTACATCAATGAAAAAGGTGAAGAGGAATTGCGAGAAAGTGCAGCCCTGTCTTACACCACTAGATGTGGTGAATTCAGGTGAAAGCTTTGTTGTATACTCGTACCCGTCTACAGGAGTTCGCATCTAATACCCTCATAAAGGAAGTGGATTTGAACTAGATGTTTAATTGTCAGACCCCGCCAAAGGTTCTGACAGTCGACAGACTCCATGGGAGCTCTCACATCAAGAAAAACTACCAACGTGGGACGTATGAAAGGGTGGCGCTTTTCAAGAACTTTTCTCGGCCAGTGCGAAACCCAGCTTGATTTTCACGAATCTGCCCATACCGAAAATCGATCGACCCGCGCTAAATAATGCCTGAAAGCACCTTAGATGCGACGGATATCATGTTGACTCCACGATGGTTTTTGAATGAAGTTCATACGCCGTTCTTGAAAATTGGGATGACGGTTGAGGAGCTCCGTTCAGCTAACATTGTGTTTCTGTTCCGAATCTTCTACGGTTTGAATATTAGGCTCACGTTAGACCTCATCACTGGAGGATATGGGGTGCACACCATCCGGGCCAGGTGCGTTGTGGCGTTGGAGGAATAATACATCACTTTATATTTCTGGTGTTGATGGTGGACTAGCAGATGGCGAGATGGTCTAAGTGGTTAGAGCGGATGGTCCGCGGTTCGAATCCGACTTCTGCCACTCGACTTCCCCTGTCTAGGCTTGGGCAACCTGACAGTTTCCCAGCCCTCATGCTACCTTCGGGTGGCATGGCAGCTAGGCACCGAAAGGTTGCTGCAGCTGAACGGTGGACTGGCATCGATGTTCCATTCAGGCCCGCTGGGTTCTTGTGTAGTTGTTGAAGGGGTGTGTTAAGGTGGCAACACAACCCGTTGAAGGGGGTTTATATCCGTAAGGCTGTCTAGAGCTGGTTGTTCGATCCACCGTGGTGTTCCCTACTCTCACGGAGGATTTTAACTTTGAGCCGACAGAGAGTTTGAAGTACATCCAAGTGAAGGACATCCTCCATTGTGGCGTTATACGAACTGCGGATCGCTGATCCATGAGGTCGGCGGTTATACTGTCCGGCCATTTGCGACGCGTTACGTTGCAAACACGCCTGTTGGTTTTACCAGTCCATTACTGGCGAACACCTAGGCAGTAAAGACATCCGCTGGTGGAATTTCTGTAGCTTTGCCTTCTTACTTGTAGCAACGAATCCTGTTCGACCATGATGAAGCAAAACTTCAAAGTGGTTCGCGTAATTGTCAACGCCAAGACCCGCCGACAGATGCTCACAATTGTCCGTTGACGGTGTTACCTGGATCGGCGGGGAAAACTTCACAGCTGAATTGCTCATCCAAGAGAAGAAACCAACGTCCGGCTAAAAGCCATTCGGATTGGAATTAGTAGAATGCCTCGTTGCCTGTCTGTAACAAATCTGGTCTGTCAGTTAAGCAAAGAAAGCCCCAGTCACATCTGGAGTGAATTAAAACGAGGTTGGTTCCGCGCATGGTTGATGTACTAGTGGTAGGTCTATTTCGAGTTCATGGAGGCTAACAAACGGTGGTTTCTACGAGGTTCAATAAAATGCATACAAGTCACAGAGGACGGTTTGTGGTGCTGGTGGATTCCAGACACTTTAGAACACCTTCCAACTCTACCTACACTTTCTTCCGGGATATTCGATTGCTCAAAATCACTGTTGGAACGGCATATATATAACTCACCGTCGCTATAACGACACCGCTTTTATGGATAAGAAATGCCGTTGGTGCTGAGTATGCTCAGGCGTCCGATGATCCAGCCACCACTGGCGGTCCCTGTCGGTTGGATCGCATACGTCACAAACTACCGCTATTGCTGCTGCTGCTGGTGGTGGTAGTCATGACGATGGTGACGCTTGTTCATACGGTTTAATCTCCGGTGTCGTGATATTAGTGCTCCTGACTATTGGTGTGGTCGTGCAAAAAAGGTACCTCCCAGTTCTTTGATCCTCAGGCTTCAGGGGTTGAATGCGTGAGTGCTTGTTTTCTACAAGCTGGTTTGTCGAGGAGTGAAGGATGGAGGTGGTGCAGGGAAATTATCACAAACTTATGGTACTCTGATTCGTATATTAGCCACATGGCAATAGTTTTCACTCACGCTTCTTTTCTCCTCACCATTGCAGGTTGCGCAGCTACTAGTCAGTCGATTTTTGGCCATACCGCATTTCTACACCAGCTATGTCGTCCAAATCTATTCATGAATCACTCGCCAAAGCTATTCTCTATAATTCGTTGTCAGAGAACACCATTTCAAGAAATCCCTTGAAGGTCGTTACCGACACATCCTTTCTAGATACGGACGCTTTCCAGGAACTCCGTGCCCTAGTATGAACAGTGTTTGCGTGACCCATACCCTTCATAGCCTCTTGTCGCAAAGCCTGATGTGTTGCTCAAACGAAGAGGAAAACTCGGTTTAGTTCTGGCTGGGAAATCACTGGAGGAGACCAAAGCTTGGTTGAAGGATAGAGTTGGGGCGAGTTTCCAGGTTGGTTTATGTTTAAGAAGCATCCTTTAATGCTGTTTTCTGATGCCATCTTGTGGTTCTGTGGATAAAAGTTGACTGTTCTTTTCTTGATAATCACACGCGTTTCTGTGTGAAGATTTGGGGGCCACATAACTAGTTGTTGGTCTTCAAGTTATATCCAATTTAAAGCTTGCTGGTTGCACAGCCGTGCGCGGCTGGTACAGCAGCGAAGCATCGGTGTTGGACGCTGATGTCATGCTGTCGATGATGATGATGATGGTGTGTGTGGCTGTAATTTCCGTCTCGTTTCTTAACAGGTCACAATATGTCCTTCAAAGATTACGAGTGGAAAATTGTTGGCAGCGAAAAATAATCTGTTTTCTAGTGTGTATTTCTTCCGACTGTGAGAACCTGGGCCATTTCTAGTTGGTGCTCTTAGGTGACAGTTTGTTAACAGGATCTACCTGTTTGCAGGTAAGCCGGTCTCCCTCTACATTCAAATCTTCGCCTCCCATTGTCGATCTCGGGACAAGGAAGTTAGTTCGATATAGAGTAACATTTTACGAATCCCGAACACAATGAGTACATGAGAACGGACACGATGGCGAAAAACTCTTTAGCGTAGGATATTTGGAACTCGATGTTTTTGATCGTATTTCTATGTTTTGTGTGGCGTTATGTGAATGTTTGGCACTGACAAAAAGGTGTAACAGACCAAACCGATTATTTCCAAGTCACCGGTTATTTGCGGTGATGTTTCTTCAAGCTGTAAACAGATATTGCTTAACTTCATCGTCACACTGTTATTTCTTTATTTTACTCATTGGGCCTCTACAATGTTTCCTACCTTGTTACGCTCCATTCTACACTATCAGTCGTTTACTGCTTATTCAGCATCCTAGAACGTAACATTCGTGTTCTAGGTACGGCCGTTCGATGAGTCTCTTCGACACAAGTAGTCCCGCGAGCATGTGAGCTAGTTAATGACTGACTTTATTCGGGTGTGAAAGATGCGAGCGTTAATGTTCTATGAGTTTGCTGCTGCTAAAAATTGTGACTTCTTTAGAATAACCACAATTCAAGGCGACTTTTCGTAAGCTTTGGAGTACGGGTCTCAAGCGATTTCTACTAATGAACTTTTCCCCCAGTATCCAATGATCCCTCCGGTATTTTGTTGATTAACTATAGGTTGGACGCGTGACGGGAACGTTGAATCGCTTTCTTGTTGAACCGTTTGTTCCGCACGAACAAGTGAGTCGGAATTTGTTTTTCCTGCTTCCGCTGAGATAAGCTGATGGCTTATTGAATTATTCAAGTAAAACTGCTGACCCTTAGTTGAATTGCTTCAGGTCTCCCTCTGCACGATGTCATCTGTATTAATTAACTAAAATGTTTGCTCATCTACCACATTTCGTCATGATCCATCATGACTTTGCGCAGTTTGCAGTGAAGAAGAGAATTTGGGAGGCTTTGTGAGCACTGGGATTTCCATATTCGCTTTTGTGATCGTTTTTTAGCTGTAAGCTCATCACGGGGGTATATGGCGTCACGCTGCGAGCATAGCGAAACTCGTTTATTTCTAGTAGTACAGATGCCTGTGAGTTGCGCACGAATTAGCTGGAGCTGAGCGTATGTTTGTATCTGCCTATGCCCGCTATGTTCTGACAGCGATAGGTTTACCCGTCGATTGGGCCGTTCGTTCAGAGCCATCTCTCCATCTGACCAGCACACCGTATCCACACACTTTGTGCGTGCGGAGTGGTGCTGCGGAACAGATTTTTCTAAGGGCTAAGAGTTGAAAGCTCCGAACGAATTGAGCCTTCCCTGTGCGTCTTATCGTGGTGCGTCTGAAGGCGGGCAGAACTTGAGTTGCGAATCCAGTAAAGTGTGACGAAATGTATTTTTTTCGCCGTTGAACGTCACGGCGTTGGTCGAACTCAATGATGGCTTGAATAGGCGGGTTTTGTAAGAACGGTTTAATCACATGTCTAGTTCGTGATTGGTTAGGGAAAATTGATCAAGGAGCTTTATCAGCTGTACTTTAAGGCAAGCAACGAATGGCGTGAAAATCCATGGAACAGCCAGCACATATCTCTGGTGATTTCTATGAACTCCATTCGCATACTGTCGATCCAAAGGGAGATAATGCAATATCTCGTTAGGATACCCGTTGTATTTCTCAAATATCAACCGGTTTCCACGGGCGACGGTTAATTCATAATGTTTTAAGGTGAATTTTCTCAAGGTACAATCGTCACTTCTGTACTGCTTTGCTTGGAAATTTACCCTGATTACGGAATACGGACTTTTCCGTAAGCTCTTCACCAAACAGTATAATGTTGAATCTCAACTATGTTTTATGACTCGTTGCTTTATCGAAAATTTAGGTTGGTGGCTATCCGAGAGTTCAAATAAAGTTTTCCCTAGATAGATCATCTTGACGAACCGGCTAGAATTGGTTTCTTTCTTCCCTCCTTCGTGGACCACATTATCCTGAAGCACTGCTTGGAGTAGATCTCTTGAAAATTGCTCTTCTATAAGGTGAGACTGTTCAGCAAGATAAACGGGGTCGTTTCAGTGTTATTTCCAAAAGAAAACTAAGCTAAGCTCCCCAATTTTTTCTCCACTGGAGTGCGTCACTTTCATCCTGGGAGGTAAAGTCAACATATGATGAAAGGAGGGGGGGTGATGGTTTTATTGTTCCTGGAATGTTATTAATGCCCTTTTGGAGGTCGTCACTAATTGCACATCGCCAGTTGATATGGATCAAGTGGTTAGAGGGCGAATTTACTGACCGGAATATCCGTGGTTCGAACCGGACCTCTGCCTCTCGACTTTTTCTGCCTAGGCCTGGGAAACCTGGCAGTATCCCAGCCCTCTTGCAACCTTCGGGTGGAATGGCATCGAAAGGCTGCTACAGCTGAACGATATCGCTAGTTATGGAGTGGGAATCGGGCACTTCGAATCGCAGTTTCCGCATTTCGAACGAGTACATACCTCCACAATTACCCAACGCTCTGCAACCAGAGCTTACGTAGACTCATTACGCCACCTAATTTGGTTCGTCTTTTACCTATGCGGTTATCAGTTCTTTGTTGTATTCCCCGTTTCTTTTTATGTAGTCCGAAGAGTACTACATTTGCATATATACGGAGCGTGAATCCAATGTCATCCTCTTCCATCACGAAGGTGGCGTGGACGTCGGTGCGGTGGATGAAAAGGTACGGTATTCGTACATGTCGTTCTCCTTGTTTTCATTCCGTTCTAATAGCTAGACTGCAGGGCACTTTATCCGTCGAATCTTGCGCTAACGTGTTATTCAGTCGATGTCTTCGATTCAATGGACAGTGTCCCTCCTCAGTAGGGACCCACCCAAATAACCACTTATCTGTTTCCATGAGCCTTATCCATTCCATGATGTCTCAAACGATAACAGAGAATGCGGGCCACTATATAACTCAACAGGTTCGTGACCGCCATTGGCATTCAGCGCGCGTCTAACAATGACACATGAGGGTATTTTGCCAATAAATTTCTTCCCACTGTTCGGTTCTGACGATCAGTGTTTTAGATGGTTAATAGTACGTCCGTAATTAATGGAGACATTCCGAGATCTCAGTAAGATGTACAGTAAGGATTCATTTTGTTATTAAAGTCAGTCTATGTTGAAAATGCTATAAGCGCTGTACGGCTGAAGAGACCGGAATCACCAAACTCAACGTAAGTCGCAGTGAAGATGCCACAGGCAGCTTATGGCCACATGACTTATGACCTATCAGTAAGAGCGAGCTCAAAGGTTATATTGTCTTTCCTAATTCAGACAGCACTTCGCAAAGTTAACGTGCCAAATCTTTTGAAAAAGGCATAGTTCAGTAGCTTTTCGTCCAGCTTTATTGAAGTTTCTGTGTTTGACAACTTTGTGAGAAGACAGGCAAAGACAATTTGTCTTCTTGAAGTACCTGTCCTGCAAATGCGAATCAGTAGGAGAATATTCGGGAACTATCATAAATAGTGAATCTATTAAAACAGCATCCAATATGTATTGGGAATTTTCATCGGCTGTGCACAGTGCCGCTTTTAACTCACTTGGCTCTTGGGTATGCGAAGCTGGAGCATACACGTGGTGGTGACGTCTCAAATAAGGAACTAGACTATCTGGGTCGTCTTTGTTTGCTAATAAAGTAGTTTACCATCAAGGTCCGGTCTCCAAAGTACACTCATTGTGAGGTATTTCCCGTAACCAGAAGGGAGAAAATGCGTACAGTGCCTTTTGAAACTCAAGCAACGATGACACATTTCTTTTAGACGTAAACCATGTAGAACATATGGTTGACGGAAACTGGGCGACTGCGTCTATTCGGTGATTCCCAAGAAGTGCGAAACTGGTTGTGGGCTGTCGAATCGTTTTCAGCAACCTGGCGAGTAGTTTCCTATATGTAAAGCAGGGACATTTAGTTACTACGTAAAGCAACGAACTGGTTGATTTCTCACTAGTGACGTCCCCCAGAAATGATCACCTTGACCACGGTCAGCTCTCATTCGGAAGGACCACGAATCGGTGTCCCTCCGAGGTTAATTTGCGAGCGTCCGACCGAACCACCTGTAACCTGAACTCACTCACTTTTCCAACCGGAAATGATCCCAGCTCTCAGAAAATACAGCCGGCTTCTTGACTCTTATACTTTCTTCATCTAAACTGAGAGGGGTGCATTACATTGCCAAAACATTCACCTTTATTATCAAGCCTTTTACAAACAAATAGCACATCGATACGATACTGGTTGTTGCTGTAGACCAAATGCTATTTTCGAGTGTAATATATCGGTGCCATAAACTTGTCATAACACACTAAATCGTAGTATTGGGGAATTTCGGCATAGAAGTGCTGACCGACCACTTTAGATTAGGATTGGTTCCAGCTTGACCAGTCGATTGGATAAGTAAACGAACTGATGAAATATGTGCATCTCTGTCGTGACGTGACAACCATTTTCATGGGAATGTTAGTGTATGGCTGCCTCTAACAACGTCGGATGACCGCTTCGCATTGCTACAGCGCCCATCTGCGTCACCGATATATGCCACTGAATTCACCAGTACTAAGGAAATGTCTTCACAGGCGTGGTTGAACGAGTATGCTTGTTAGGTGTGGTGTGACAATATGTCACGCGGGCTCGAGTGTCTCCTAAATTTTCACAATCACACTCTTGACAGACGAAATCGGTTATGTTGTCTGGGCGCACTGTTTTGGTTTTGGCGTGGTGTTGTCTTTTCAACTCTTTGAACTTGTGTGCTGTCGATACGTGTGAGAGGGGCGAGATGGCCCAGAGCGCGAATTTACTGCCTCGAAAGTCCGTGGTTCGAATCCGACCCGCTCCGCCTCTCGACTTCTCCTATCTGGGCTTGGGCAACGTGGCAGTATCCCAGCCCTCGTGCTTCCTTCAGATAGCATGGCAGCTGGACACCGGAAGGATGTTACAACTGGACGATTTTTACATGTAGGATGTCGGTGTATTGTATTCAAATTTGGCAGGAGAGTTGACTTCATAACTAGTCAGCTGTCTTTCCCACCCGATTACACCTCTATTTACTCCTCTACAGTGAATACTCTGCGTTGCTAATGTATTACGATTGTTGTGTGTACTGTCGACTCTCCCCCGTTTCGCTCGAATTCCTCATCGTATGGCAGTTCTGCGTGGTCACACAAGTACTGAGCCATTTTGGGTGCACTGCCCTCGAATTTTATATGAAATGTTGAGCGTCCAGGCAGGCGAGACGGATGATTTGACCCCGGTCGTTGAACCGGTGATCCAACGTCTTAATCACTCGGCACTCGTGATCCGGATGCTTCTCCGGAACATAGCTAGTCGGTGCCCGGTCTGCATCAGGCGAATTTCTCTCCGGAAAGAGTCGTGTGTCACTCGTGTGCTATTTTACTTTTTTTTTATCTTTCAGGCCAAGCGTTTCGAAATTCCCGTGTCCACAATGCTGTCCAAAGAAGCAGCTTCCCAGCCAGTCTGCACACCAGATGAGCTTCTTGAAAGTTCCCTGTTTTCAGACGTGGAAAATATGCAAAGACGTCGGTAAGAATTTATGTTTGTGTGCCCTTTTCTGCATCCCGTATTAAGTATAGCTTTCCATGCAATTGTTCCTATCAAATTGATGGGAATATACGCTGAGGTACCGCCCAAAACAATTGTTCCGTCAGCTGTTTCAGAATGTCCACAATGCTGTCCAAAGAAGCAGCCTCCCAGCCAGTCTGCACACCAGATGAGCTTCTTGAAAGTTCCCTGTTTTCAGACGTGGAAAATATGCAAAGACGTCGGTAAGAATTTATGTTTGTGTGCCCTTTTCTGCATAAGTTTCGGGCCTTGAAGCATAGCAAGCTGTGATTATATACTTGAATCGATCGTTTCTACTGGGCTTTTTGTGAGCTTTCTCATTGCGCTCTCTAGCTCAAATCTTCCATTTGAAGTCATTTCGCTGCAAGAAATCGAAAGGAAACGTATCCATCTGCGTTGCCGAACCCTAGTTACTAGACCTTGGAGAAATGGTACCATCTGGTGTTCGATATCTAGCCTCCATGGTTCACTTATTTGCCGAATTGAGTCGATTGAGCAAGCGTGTCCGAAGCAAACATCTTTCACGTAGAACATTGTTCTTCCAGCTGCTTATGCTGCCAGTTTTTCTTTTGCGAACACTTTTTCACTGAAGCATCCGCTGATTTACTATCTAGCTAATGTATTCAACCCGAATCAGCTGATTTGAGCAGCAGAAAGACGTTCAAACGAGTACAGCTTTCGCTCTTGATAGGGTAAGCTGCTGCGTTTTTGTTATACACCGGTTTGATACTGCGCCAAGACATGACCTCAAAGCGCACCGTACAGTCAGGCAGCATGACCAGTAGGCGTACGTTAACCTGGGTTGGAATGATAGACAAAGCCGATAATAAACGCACTGTTGTGTATCTCGGGACATGTACTATGAAAGTTCATGCTGTTTGACGCGTTAAGGTTGTAGAAGGCCTTCAGTGGAGCAGTCAAACGTATAAACTAATCCTCGTAGGACGGGGAGGGGGATGGTGAACGGCTTTCGTGCACTTGTTTCTAGGTAGTGTATCTGCTCTACTAGAGTTAAGGTGTTTCGGAAGACGCCTAATTCCAGGGGACATTGTTTCTGTTAATCAGACTGAAAAGTACCTGAAAAACCATAAGAGATCTACGGCTTTGGTTGCTCAGCGCCGGATCAGCTAAAAGTCCCTCAATCCCAAGACAGCACAAACACTGAAATATGGACAATATGAGAAAGTAACCACTGCCTTCACCTCTGTATTGCATGGGGTTGTACGACTTTACCCCAAAACTGCCTCATCTACGATTCCTGGCACTAGGGGTTTCGTTGTTTCATCTAGCTGTCTGTCCTAGCTCTTTGGATCAAGGAGGAAGGGTGCATTTCATCTAGCTCTGTCCTAGCTCTTTAGATCAAGGAGGAAGGATCACAGCGTGAATAGATTCGAGGGTGTGGAGCTGGTGAGCGAATGGAAAGCGGTCGTAGATAAGCCGAGTGGGGGTGGAAATCCCAACCCGACCAAAGGTCACAGAATCCCTCTTACACAACTATCTTAGCACTAGCTCATCCACACAGACGGACAGAAGGTTCAAACGACGTTCAAGAGGGAACATCAAACGAACCGAACCAGAAGAACTAGAACCTAGGCTGGACCCAAACACATGTAGGTTTCCCCACCAACCCAACACTTGTTCAAACACACAAAAATCCCTCGGCCGACACCCAACAGAGATTTAGCTTGACGTAGCTGATTGGTTCTCCTTCCGCCTTAAATCTCGACCAACCTGGGAACCTAGTCACTTGGTCTGACGAAGCTTTTGTGTCAAAAGCGAAACGTTACCCAGCAGTAAATCTACCGATTGTCACCAAACTTTTTCGAAAGTGATAGAAGCTTGTTTTGGCTCAAACCACCGTGAGAACAATTCAAAAGTGCGGTTCTTTTCAAGTCGAGGGGAAGATTCCATTGACAGCAGCAAGGTTGCTTGTTGTATTGATGGGTTTCTCAGACTGTTCTCCAACTTGACTGCCAGCAAACAGACTGGGTTGTATGGAAGACGTTGAGGACAGAACGTTTCGTAAAATCCGAGAGTGAGGTGTAGTGGATCACGGAAATTACTGCTTGTCATGCAATAGGGTACACTAGGAGTGTAAACCCGTCGGTCCCTGCCGTCACTTCCTTTCTATCTGTGCCTCATCACCTCAATCAGACTGCTTCTTTTAGTAACAATAGCTGTGCCAAGCTCGGATGGGTGACATTCAAATGTAGTGATCTGACGTGGTCACAGTGAAGGTCACGTATGCATAAACCCTAACCAGTGTTATATGTCGGCTAATGACGCTTATTCAAATCGAATGAGTCATCAGCAGTGAAAACCGCCGACTGAATCACAGCGGCTGAAATCACTCGTGATATGCTGACGTGATGTTTCAGTGAAAGATCTAAAAACTTTGCGGGTTTTCAAAGTTCTCTTTATCATCATTTTCGGGTTGATGACCGTGATGGACGTGGGTCTAAACCAACCAAGCCAAAAACAAGCAAAAAGTCACATCTAATTCTCTCAAGGTCACTAGTGCGACACTGTTAACGACGTCAACATAACTGAAAATCTCATGAAAACAGTTTGCGGCGTTTCCAATGTTTGGCAACAAAAAATACCAGTGGCGGAATAATGTGAGAAGTTTTAGTTGATAAAATATCCGTTATTGTTTTGATAATGCTTTCTGTGAAACAACGTAACCGAATGAATCAGCTCATTGACGGGGGATCTCAACTAAATCTCACCTGTAAATGGGCGTGTTGCACAAAGTCCGGTTCCTGTCTCAGTCTGCATGGCATTCGAGATATCACAGTAAATCTCCTGGAAACTGTTCGACAGCCCACGACTAATTTTGCCCTGCTTGGGCTCATCAGGTAGACGCAGTCCTCGAGTTTCCATCAACCTTATATTCTACTCGAACCAAAGTTGTACGGAACTCGCGAACTACACTTATTTGCAAACTGATGTGGTTTTATTGGGAGATTCAAGTGAATCTCAGCTGAATCTTTAGTTTACTCTATTCTTCTATTTTTCGTTTTCCTAAGAATAGTTTGCCTATTTTTCATAAAAGAAACTACTCACAAGGTTGCTGACAACCCACGACCGGTTTCGCCCTTCTTGGGGCTTATCAGGTAGGCGCAGTCTCCGAGTTTCCGTCAACTTCATGTTCTACTTGAACCCATTTACTTATCTTGTTTACCTCACGACGTCTTGAATATCTCGTTTATGGTGTTCTTCAGCGGAATGTACTGCACAAAGCCGCCTCACGTTCCACTGGTTGCAATATTCCAAATATCGCAGTGTATTTTTTGACGTAGCATACCGGTCCGATGTTCAGGTGAAACATAAGGTTAACGGAAACCTGACGAGCCCCGAGAAGGACAAAGCCGATCCTGTGCTGTCGAAGAGTTTTTAGCAACCTAATGATTAGCATGTTCTTTCTTCAAATAGTTCTTCAAATGTTCTTTCTCAAATAGTGCACCGAATGGAACACGAGCCTGCTTTCTTGTAGTGTGTTGGGCATCCAGATACTACGCAACCTCAAATGGTAAATTGCAGTAATGCAATGCGGTAGGAAAGTGCACAATTACCTGGGATGATGGATGATAGACGCACTGTTGTGTGTTCAGAGACCCATAGATTAAAAGTACCAACCGCTGCTCGCATCAAGGTTACATAGCGGCTTTAGGGAGTCAGTTAATATAACTTAATTTCACGTGGTCTCTGATGGTCAACTGCCTGTGTACATCCTTCCGGCAAATGTTGTATGACGTTATCATGGTAAAATGTGCGCTTTCGTGGCATGTGGCCCTACTTTGGTTTGCACCATGTGGAATAACTGTCCCTCGAAGCTGTATCAGAGGGGTACGGTAAAAAAAGGACCCTGCATGAACACTCAGAAAAGCTCACAGTGGACTGTATTCAAGCTTTTTCACAGCTGGAATGACGGAAACTCAGTAGGCACACCTCAACAAGTTCCCTCAGAATGAAAAATAACGTGCTTTTCTGGGAGCTCGAATTTCCAGAGGCAATGTCTGATGTAGCTCTATGCATTACATAAAAATCTTTGTAAAGTCAAAAGAAATACATTCATACTCGTTGTGCTCGCAGTCCAGATACGAATTTGTTTTCCCCTGCTTTCATGCATTATTCCTGCTTGTCCGAAATTCGGGGGAATTTCATCGAATTTAGCGGCTGGTAAAAGTTCCCTACTCACTGCATTTGTGGAAAATCCCCTGTCAAATTTTCGGCTGAGTCCTTGTCAGAGTTGAGAAGAGATTCGAGTGCGACTTTGTTCGATGCCTTGTTATACACATCACGTTTTCTGGGATTTGATAAACTGAAGAACACTGCCGACTCATCCTAAGTGGATGCCCTTGTTTCTGTTTTTATTTGCTTGAGTTCAGTGTTCGACTCAATCACTCAGTGTAGCCTACCAATTCACATAAACAGACCTAAACAGATGGTCTATATGTGAACCAGCAAGGAATGGACAGTATTCCTGGAGGTGCAGAGCCAATTGCTCGCCATCTCTTTCGCTGTATCCGTTAAAGCTGTGGCTCGCATGTATTAGCTCAATAATTTCAAATCTTTAGCCGTTAGTTTTGCTGACAGTACGGTTAAGCGGTATCACGAACGGAGCATAGCTGCTAGTTTACTTTTATCATTTATTTCACTTTGGGACAGTTACTTTTTGTATCCGGCTTGATTGACTTCTTTCCTCTGATTTTCTTGTCAGTATATTGGCCGAGTTTGTCGTGGATTTGCACCGAGTATTTGACAAATTGCATTTCACATTTCTGGAAATCAATCCCCTTGTGGTGTGTGGTTGGACGCCATGTGGTGGGGCAAAAAGTGACAACCTGTTTGTTCACATACTGGACGTTGCTGCCAAGTTGGATCAGTGTGCTGAGTTCCTCTTTTCTGCCAACTCACTTTGGTCTCCACAAGGCCAGTCACTGGAATTTCCATTTCCGTTTGGGCGCGTCCAGACACCAGAAGTGAGTTTTCTGCTTGGTTGAGTTAGGGACAGCTGACTAGTTAAGATAGGAACTTTGGATCGAGTACTCTGTCAGATCGTCTTAAGGTGATCTCCATTCAGCCTTGCCATTTGGTTGGTCGGATAGATAGATATTTATGGCTATTTTCACTAGTTGGTGCTGCTCCTTCATGGGTTGAGATGGCTCAAGTGGTTAAGAGCGCGAATTTACTTACTGGGAGGTCCGTGGGTCGAACCCGATCTATGCCTCTCGACTTCCCTTGTCTAGGCTTGGGCAACCTGGCAGTATCCCAGACTTCGTGCT